CGACACTAACCTTAGCTGAGAAGATTCAACGAGAGTTTGATGATTATTTCACATTGAAGTTGACGAAGGACGAAAAACGTATTTTTGAACTCCTCCCTTGGTGGAGAGCGAAAGGAATGGCCGTCTCCACGATGGATCAATGAGTACTGCTCCCTCCTTTGCCCGTCATGGCATGGGCCGCTCGTGCAGTTTTATGTGTCCCCACATCGAGCTCGAAGAGCGAGTGCAATTTCTCAGATGCGGGAAACACATTAACGATGGAACGAAACTCTCTTGGCGGTTCTATGGTCAACGACATTTTGTTCGTTAGATCAAGCAAGGACTTGATCAACACATGAGATTAATAGTTTTTTAAATTCTCGTTTGCCAGATTGATGTAGAGCTTGTTTCGTCTTGAACGTTTTGGAAGTTATTAATACCTTGTTACTTGTGCTAATGATAAGATCTTGAGTTATTTTCCTTTGAGAAGATCGAGTCTCATTGTCGATGTTGCCGTTGTTTTGATAATAAGATTTCAAATGTCTTTGTTGTAACACTATGTTGCCAATGAAATTGTGATGGTGTAAGGGACTGGCATGGGCAGGTGCGGGCTGATGCGGGTGGGTGCGGGTGAAAAAAAAAGAGGTATTGGGCGCGGGCGGGTGATGATACTTTCACGGGTGTGGGCGGGCCGGGGTGAGGGTATTTTTCAGGTCACGGGCGGATTGGGCGTGGGGCTGAAATTTCAGAAAATATTTTCGGTGGGTGGGGTCGTCTAAAAGTAAAAAAATGAAATTCTGGGGGCGGGTGGACGGCAAAAAAAAAAACAATTGGGCGGGTTGGGTCGAGGGTGAGGAAAAAAAAAAAATGCCACCTCTGTCGTCCAGCGTGCAGGTTCAAGTCCTTCCAGTCACATACACAGGCACACACACACAGACAAAGAGAGAGAGAGAGAGAGAGAGAGAGAGAGAGAGAGAGAGAGAGAGAGATCTGCTTGATTGATTGGTTGGTTGATTGATTGATTGGTCATTGATTGGTTGATTGATTGATTGATTAACTGATTGATTCATTGATTGATTTACATATTGACCGATGCCCTCTTCGCCAATCCCATCCCATCATACCTCTACCAATCCAAACCCCTTCCGACCTCGAAAGGGTCGTTCCAGCACGATCTCCGACTCTCCTTTTTTTTTTTTTTTTTTTTTGTGCCCGTCCAGCTTTGGCTGCGCTGTTCCACAAAATTCCCAGCACGCCCCTTGCCTGGCCCCATTGGCCTGGGGCTTGCCCCTCGTCCGCCTGAGCGTTACCTGGCTGAGCTTGGGGGGAAAAAAAGGAAAATTTGGGAACGCTCGCGCGATAAGAACCTGCATTCTAACATGAGGGACGCGATACGGACCTCAACCGACAATACAGAAAATATTACACTCTGAAAAAAGCTAGGTTACCAGCCCGGACGTCCGGGACCCTTTTTGGGTCCGGGTTGTCCGATTGGACAACTCCCCCGGTTGTCCGAGCTGGGCCACCTTTCCGGGCTGGTGGAAAAACCCGTGTAGGGGGGGTAAAGGCTTTTGGGCCTGTGGGGGTGGGATTTCGGGTATGATATACCCCTGGGAGGAACGCGCCATTTTCGTGAGGCCAGTAGGGCCTCCGAAATCGAAAACGAAAATGGCCTGCTCTGGACCGTCAGATCTAAGACATCTACGGCCCAGATCAGGCCAAATTTGAATTCGAATTCGGCTGTGTACTGCGACTGGACGGCGCGCGACTTGGGCACGTCGTTGGAGTTGGACGTTGCTGCGACGCCACCGATGGCCACGACCCGACGTCTCCTCCAACCCTCGTGCAGGTGCGTACCCTCCTCCTCCTCCATGTCTCTCTCATGTCTCCCCTCCTCCTCCTACTTTCCCTCCTCTTCCTCATCCTCCTCTTCCTCCTTTCCCTACATCTCTTTCTCCTCCTCCTCCTCCTTTCCGTCCATTTCCTCCTCCTCCCCCTCCCCCTCCTCCTCCTCCTCCTCATCTTCTTCCTTCTCCTAGTCCTCCACCTCCTCCTCGTCGGCGTCGTCCATCGCCGTCGTCGTCCTCCTCCTCCTTTTCGTCCTCCTCCTCCTCCTCGTCCTCCTCCTCCTCCTCCTCTTCTTCTTCTTCGTCGCCGTCCTCCTCCTCCTCGTCCTTGTCCTCCTCTTCTTCTTCCTCCTCCTCCTCCTCCTCCTCGTCTTCTTATTCTTGGTCGTCGTCCTCCTCCTCCTCCTCCTCTTCTCTGTACTCCTCGTCCTCCGGCTCCCCCTCCTCCTCCTCCTCATCTTCTTCCTCCTCGTAGACCTCCACCTCCTCCTCGTAGCCGTCGTCCATCGCTGCCGTCCTCCTCGTCCTCCTCGTCCTCCTCGTCCTCCTCCTCCTTCTTCGTCGTCGTCGTCCTCCTCTTCTTCTTCTTCCTCCTCCTCCTCGTCTTCTTATTCTTGGTCGTCGTCCTCCTCCTCCTCCTCCTCCTCCTCCTCCTCCTCCTCATCTTCTTCCTCCTCGTAGACCTCCACCTCCTCCTCGTAGCCGTCGTCCATCGCCGCCATCCTCCTCCTCCTTCTCTTCTCTGTACTCCTCGTCCTTCGCCTCCCCCTCCTCCTCCTTCTCCTCCGCCTCCTCCTCTTCTTCCTCCTCCTAGACCTCCACCTCCTCGTAGTCGTCGTCCATCGCCGCCATCCTCCTCCTCCTCCTCCTTCTCCTCCTCCTCGTCCTCCTCCTTCTCCTCGTCGTCTTCTTATTCTTGGTCGTCGTCCTGCTCCTCCTCCTCCTCCTCTTCTCTGTACTCCTCGTCCTCCGGCTCCCCCTCCTCGTCCTCCTCCTCCTCATCTTCTTCCTCCTCCTAGACCTCCACCTCCTCATCTTCTTCCTCCTCCTAGACCTCCACCTCCTCCTTGTGGCCGCGTCGCCAGTTGTACCCGCCCAACGTGCCAGAACGTCCCCCTCCCGCCATTGTCCTCTTCTTCATCGTCTGCAGTCCTCCGCCAGCTGGTCTTTCAATCAATCAATCAATCAATCAATCAATCAATCAATCAATCAATCAATCGTTCAATCCGAATCCAATCA